TGATCCTTGGCTAATCGCAGGTGGAGAGAAGAGAAAGTACGTGCCTAGCGAAGGTGGGGGGGCGAGGAAGGAGGAGGGGGGGAAGGCTGGATGCACACGTGGAGGTCCTGGGAATCGGGGAAGGAAGGGGCAGGTTGCTTAAGAGCGAGGACGGGCCAGCCGGTGACGTCACAGAGACACCCCACGTGCGGGTCTCACGCGCCCTCTCGGGAGCTCGAGCTGGGGTGCGCGCGCGTGCCCCCCCAGCCGCCCGTGTTGCAGCGCCAGCCTCCCCCCCCACACACCCCGAGTTCTTCGTGCGTGTATTCAAATGGGTGTTTGCAGATGCCTTGGTAAAGAGGGGTCACCTGGCACCTGCTGGCGGGCGGGCGGGGAGGATTGTAGGCAAGGAGGGGCCCCGTGGAAAATAGGTAGGGAAGGGCTCTGGGGCGTTCTCGGAGCAGAAGGAGCTGCAGTCAATAGTAAGAGGCTGCTGGTGGCTGGTGCGATAAGGCGTTTTGGACTCTGGGGCGATAAACTTCGGGTGGCTCGCCCTCTTTGTAGTGTCGGTGTGAGACCTTGTGTTTTAACACCGCTGTCTGCGATGACATAACACAATTTTCAGCCCCTCGTGCCCCATTTTTATGGATTGTTAGCTGTCTATAGAAATTATACAGAGTAGGCTATTCCCTTGACAGACTTGGGTTATTTCTTTGGTGTCAAAAAGTCCTGTGGCATTCAAAACAAAAATACTGTACACTGTTATTTGGCATTAGCGCTTGCAAAGCTGCAGGCCATGAGAATATGTTAGCCATTAAGGTGGCATAAGCCTTTTCGTTGTTATTTTGCTTCAGGAGACTTAACAGGCTGAATTTATGAGGGTTAATGTGTGTGGATTTGGTTAACCATTGGTCAGGACTGGTCAGACGGTGTGCCAGTCTCTTTGCATGCCATTGGGTGGGGTACATCTGTTTTCCGTGATGCTTGCTGCGCATTGTGGTTCTTGCACATTCCAACTTGTGCCTTTCTTGACAGATTCTTTGCCGTTTTAAGAAATGGAAAACAAAACCTAGCACAGGATTGTCTAGCTTTCAAATTGGTACTGAGGACTGTCCTGTGACAACATGGTGTTGTCAGAGTTTGTGATGACAGGATTAATAAAATCCTTTTTTCACTCCATCAGGCTGCAGCATCATTCAAGGATCCTGGCTATGGCAGAAATTATTTAGCAGGTTTTCTAGCTTTTGAAAGGTGAATGGAGATGATAGGATAGTGCTTCCCCAAGTACAGTGTGTGTTTTTTTAAGTTATCATGTTTCTTTTTTAAAAAAATATTGCCTGGATCTTTGTTAATGTTGCAAACTAAGGGTATGACTACACATCATGATACTGCTGTTCGTTTATCGGGTTTAGCATGCTTGATATAAAATTAAAAATCTCCAGCTGCCTGGCATACAGCTAAGTGCACATTTTTTCAGAGGGGAAAGCAGGTTTTTTTTAAACACCCATATGGGGGGGTTGTTTATTTTAAATTGATTCTAGTTTAGTTTAGTTTTGTTGTTGTACTTTGGCCTGTGCCAAGGTAAATATTGCCTGTTGGTATTTGCATGGTTTGCCAAATTTGGGGTGTCAAGTACAATGGGTTTTGGACTGTAGGATATCCTGCAGTCCACACTCTTCCTTTCCCCCCTTTCTCTTTTTCTCTTCTAATGCTGCATTGATCTAGTGGTATGCCCCTTCAAAACTTAAACTAAAATAATAATAGCAGTAATTTAAAAAAACATAATTTAGACCAGACATGACAGTTCTTAAAGGAAAGAGGGGAAAAGCTGTTAGAGTAGTTGTAGGCTGTGATGTGGGCTGCTGATGGTGGCTTTGCTGAATAAAAACTGCTGAGTCCAGCATCAGCTGTCTCAAGGCAGAGAAAGGCACAAGGTACATTTGAGGTGAAGAATTGTTCCCAGTACAGAGGGGGAAAACAGGAAAATCAAGATCCAGGGCATTGAAGTGCCAATATACCATATAGGTTACAACCACACTAAGGTTGTTCAGTAAAAACACACACATATGGACACAAAAATCATATGACAGTAAATCTGTTTCTTAAAAACCTAAACCATTGACTAATTTAATTCAACAGTGTAGGCGCACCATAAGTTCAAATGCAACAAAAGAACCCGTAAGATTTGAAATTTTGAATTGTGTTACCGCCTTACTCGTTCATCCTTTTGGCATTCACACCTGCCCCAGACTCCCAGTTAGTGCCATGAGAAACAGTGTTTATGGGGAAAATCTGAGTACCCAGAAGATCTGTGATTTTATTAAACCATGTTGTCCCTCCATCAGTACCAATTGCAACTGTTCCATGAATAGTTTCCATGATTACAAACGAAACAAATGTAAAATCTGGTAGAATTCTTAGAGGTTAGGCACTGAGTTGCATAATTAACTTCTGTGGCCCCTTGAATCATCCTTTGGGAAATAGGTTTTGTTTTATCCGGATAACAGAGCTGTCTGTGGAGAGGATTACTTGCCAAATGAAAGGCTTAAGCTTTTATAAACATTCTTCACAATCTAATCTTAGAACATGATTCCCCATGTGTTCTTCCTAGTTATGATATAGTACCATCTTGTGATGGGCTGACTTAGCATAGCTGTTTGCACAGATGGTACTCATGGATGTAGATGCACTGGTAAGGAAAATATTTGAAATATTTGCCACGTTGGCAAAGTGATTTGAAATCTCCAGTTTTCAAAGGGGTATTTGTGGGGGAGAGAACTGGATGACACAGCATGTGATGTCCTGAAAGCCAGGTGCTGTAATGAGATTGAATTGTCATGCCATGGAAACCTATTTATTTAAAATATTTTGCACCACCTTTCTCTTTGAGAAGACCCATGGTGGTTTATATCATTGAAATACAATATTTATAAACTGAAAATAATGAGTATACAAAGGTGATTTATATCATTAAAAGATAGTTTTTTTTTAAAGACAGTGAGTATAAAGAGGCAGATTACATCAATAAAAGACAATGATAAAGCTGAAAAAAATAAGTATACAAGTATTTAAAAAGGAGGAAAAAAAGATGCCACTCTGAGAAATGGAAAACACAAGTAGTATTAAAATCCCAGTCAAAGCAGTAATGCATAACAATCCATTAAAAATCACAGGTAGCCAGTTACTGAGGGAAGGCTTGCCTGAAAAGAAAGGTCTTTACTTGCTTGTGGAAAGATAGCAAAAATGGGGCCAGCCTGGCCTCCTGTCAGAGGGAGTTCCCTAATTCTGTCATTTTACATTTTACTGAATTCTTTGGGTCATCATTTGTTTAAACATTTTATAAGTAAAATTTAAAATCTACTTTGTTTAAAACTAGCCCAAAGTTTACCCACTGTTCCCTTTCTGTTGTCTGAAAATATGTCTCAGGCAGTGAAGGGGAGACTCAAGTCATTTCTCAGGAAAGACAAGGCAGCTGTACAGTACTGTTGCTTTAGGTGGTAAGTTATTCTGGACAGTATAAAACAGAAGAGACAAAGTACCAAGTAATGCCAGGACCATTTAAAGCTAGGATAAATGTTGTGTTATCCAAAATTATACTTTAGTGTAATACCTACCTGGCTTATACAATGGAGACTTGGGTTCAAATTACATTCTACAACATTATGGTTGCATGCATTACTAGTTGAGTATCAGTCTCTTAGTCCGCCCTGTAAATGAGAGATAATTGTAATAGTGGGTGAACCATCTGTGGTGCCTTGCACTCTTTTGGAGGAAAGGGGGGCAGAATGTAATAAATACTGACACATTGCTGCCAAGAAAGCAATTTTCTCACTTATGAAACAGCTTGCTGCTGTGTTTGAGCGAATGGGGAGCTGATAGTTCTATGCCTCATCCAAAACTCTTCACCCTCTGCACCATTCCTTGTGAGCTGTTAACTTGACCCAACTTTAGTAGTTATTTCCAGGATGGATTTGATTTAAATCACCATTTAAATCATGATTTAAGTTTTAAAAATTGGGTTTTTCTTACAATGTAAATTTTAAAAAATCAATTTAAATCGGTTTGATTTTTAACAAATAATTGATTTTTGGGTTTTTCGTGCAATGTAAATTTTAAAAATCAATTGAAATCAGTTTGATTTTTAACAAATAATTGATTTTTGCCCACCCTGGTTATTTCTGAAACTTTTGACTTAATTTTGTCAATGCTACTTGCTGTATGGATTTATGGAATTGAAATTGGGTTGACAGCATTAAAATGGCATCAGAGTAGTAGAAGAAAAACTACCGTATGTCATGAGAAATTTGTGATGAGTAGGCAGGTTTTAATGGATAGGTTTTATTTCCCAATTTTTAAAACCACAATAATTTTTGTAAGTGAACAAAACCCACCTATATTTATTAGAAAATATTTGCTAATAGATTAGATCATTTCAAAGTTCACCACTTGATAGGATTTCATGCCTATGTGCGTCTTCCCTCCTTGCATGCAAGGTACAAACTCTTGTCGCTTGAATTACATTTATTTATCCATCTTTTTCTCAGTGTAATAAGCACGGGGACATGATATGAACTTAAATGTCATGTTACAGATGTTATTTTTTTAAAGTTTTATAGGGTTAGAGATTAGGACATGGGATTAAATGAGTTGTAAATCAACACAAACATTTTACAATAAAAAAAGTTTTATTTTATAGGGTTAGAGATTGGGACAGGGCACATGGGATTAAACGAGTTGTAAATCAACACAAACATTTTACAATATTCATTCTTATCTATTACATTTCAAAGAGACATAAGTTTCTGGTGTAACTAATTTTCTGGGAGTTATATACCATCTATAAAACATTTGTAATACAATTCTAATTCTAAATTGATCGTAGGCTTTTAATTATCAAATATTAATTTACATTCTGTTTCTAGGCCAGTCATAAAATTTATACCAACAATCTTCACAATTCGTCTTTCTTATTGAGTCTAGCCATTCTGATAGTTTATCCATCTCCGCCGTATCCAGGATTTTTGCTACTAACTCATCTTGAGTTGGATTCTCTGGGTCTTTCCAATGTTTGGGTTTTTCCATATTTGTTTGCTCTATGTTACATATGTTATTTCGACATATCATTCCCTTACCCTGCCCATAAAAACATTCTTGCTGTGTAAAAGTAATAAAGCAATTCTAACTCATCTTGAGTTGGATTCTCTGGGTCTTTCCAATGTTTGGCAAAAAGAATTCTTGTAGCTGTCAAGATATGAATAACTAAATATTTTTCCATTAGGTTTATTGAATCAGGGATTGTATTTACAAGAAAAAAATTCAGGGTTTACAGTTATTGGAATCTCTAAAACCTCATGCAAAAGCATTTCAACCCTTTCCCAATATTTTTGGGCTTTCCCATATGACCACCACAACTGATAAAAAGAACCTTCTTTTTGTTTACATCTTCAACAGAGATTTGATATATTACCATCCATTTTGGTTAATTTTCTGGGAGTTATATATCATCTATAAAACATTTTATATATTTTTTCTTTAAAAGCTACTGACTTAGTGAGTTTAGATTGTTTTTCCATATTTGTTTGCACTATGTTACAGATGTTATTTCAACCTATCATTCCCTTACCTTGCCCATAAAAACGTTCTTGCTGTGTAAAAGTAATAAAGCAATTTATCTAATGACCATGTTTTTTTTCCCTAAGAACTGACAGTTTATGTAAGTATTCCATAGCAAAATACACTCCTGTTTCATGTATTTACAATCATTTGTCAAGTCTTTACAAATGTAAAAATCCAGAATGTGGGTTTAAATGAGCAGGATGTCTTGATTTAAATACTCTCATTAATCCAAAACGTTCTTGCTATTTTAGGAGATGCTTACGTAGGAGATTTAACCCAGCACTGGTCATAATGCATCTTTGCTGAAGCCGGTGATCGGGCATTCTGGATGTGTTAGTTGCTATGGGAGATTGGAACACTGTTGCGGTGCCAGCACTGTCACCAGGTAAATCACTCAAGTCCTAAGTTGAATTCGGGTGCATCTAATGCAGGGGAATTAATTAGAATGATAAAACATTTCAGCTGTTGCTAGGCTAGGAGATGGGACATCTGTGCATAAAATAGCTAGCCTGATCTTTATCATGGAAACAGAACCCTGTGATAGCTTGTGCTAGATACTGCTCTAAAATCTGGGTTTTGCAGAATTGTGTAAAATCCTGTCTGTGTAGCTAAGCACTGTCACAGCAAACAATAATAGATCTGTCAGCAAGAACTAGGCATTTAAAATGTTGTTAATAGAGCTGTAAACTATGATTGGGGAAGAAAAGTTGAGGCATAGCATGGTATTACTGAAGGAGGTGATTAATCTTAATGTATGAACAGACAGGCACAAGCATTCGTTATGTAATCAGGGGCAAAGTTTCTGAGCAAAATTTGTTATCCCAGTTGTCTTAAAATTGTTCTGATAAGTAGCCTGCCCAGTCTATTTATTTGATTTTTTTCCTGATAAGTAGCATGTGTTTATATGATTTTAACTTGTTGTCTGGTTGGTTAATGACAGTAGTGTAAACTGGACCAGCAAATTGCTACCACTAAAGTTGCTACTTATATCCCTCCTCATGCACCTGTGATTTGGGGTGGTGCAAACGAGGAGGGGGTCCAAGTAGCAAGTCATTAACTGGTTCCAATTTACCGCTGCAAGTCTATGCTATTATACATACACCTGCTTAACTAATCAATAGAATTCTCGCTATTTTTGTCACTACATAGTCAGCAACTTTCTTGAATTTGTCTTTATATTATATATCTTTAACATGAAGAAATAATACTTGACCTGAGGTCTCCTTGAATGGGCTTTAATGCAAAAGGCAGGATATATAAATATATATATGTACATATATACGCATGTCTGTATATATATTAAAATAAGGGGCTGCTGATCTTAACTGATTCTGTTTCTTTCCAGATAATACTAATACGTGGTATACCTCAACCAAAAGTATGTCCCCCTCAAGCTTAGGTGTGCTGCGCTCACCACTGCCTTTGTCCAAAAGTACACACAGTTTTTTCAGTGCCTTCTGCACAGAAGAGAATGTCGAACGGAGCCTTTCCTATCTTAACAGGGTAAATCAACTTCTTGTGTGTGAATACAGAATTTTAAAAACATATTTTAGTGCAGCGGTGCTCATCTGAGAAATACACCTTTCCCAGCCTTGCTGCCTCAACGTGAGAAACAGCAGTGGGGGTTCGATGTAGAAGTGAATGTAGCTGAAGATTGATTTTGAAATAATGGTTAAAAATATTTTCTCTGTTGTGCTAGGAGCTAACAGCGCTTGGCTTTCCTTCACTTTATGCTGACTCCAAAGGTAAAGAGTTATGTGTAGTGTCGGTCTTAAACTGTATGAATGAACTGCTCCTACTTCACCGCAAGACTCTGCGAGCGCAGGAAGAAGCAGAAACTCAGCACCTGAAATTAGGCAGTGATATGGATCACCTGCAGAATTGCTATGCTAAATTAAAGGTAAAGTAGCCTTTGTTATGGTGCTCCTGAGTAGCAAAATAAACCAGAATTCTGAAGTAATGAGTTATAAGTAACATTGTTACATGTAACAAATTATTTTGTTTTCCATGGGAATGGGAATGCAACAATGTTACTTTTCAGAAGTAACAATATTGGGAACAGCACTACTATGTTTGATGTTATGTGTGCAAGAGGGATAACTAAATGTCTTCTAGTTATCTTCAAAGGGTTTTTTATGCTCATTTTGCAGAGGAGATTATACATTTCTCTTATCAGTTGTATGGTATGGTTTTCTCCAAAAATAAGTGACAAAGTAGCAAGCAATTCCAGTTACTCAGTATTTTTCACGCAACTCTAATGGTAACAAATCAAGTGAAGAGGGGGTTTGTGTCAGGATACATAACATAATTTTTAAATTTCAGAGATTAGCCTTAATCTGTGGAAATGTTTCATTGGTGTGATGGTTTATCAGATTATTAAGGATAGATATTGGGTATTGGGGGAATCATTAATTTTATATTATCTCCTGCCCTGCAAAACATGCATTTTATATATTCCTTAACTTTCTGCAGTAACTGACCAGGGTATTACTGACCTTTTTAATTATCGCCTAATTAAAGTGAAGCTGGAAGGCAGATTTAAAATTTGGAGTCATTCAAGTTTTTCTTTTTTCAGCTTTGGTGATCCTCATTTTTAGACAAGTCTTTGACTTGTCTAACACCTGTGGTGTTTATCAGGTGAAATGCATGAGCTTAAATACAAAATTATAAATTGCTTAATGCAACCTTCCAGAATATGGTGCCATCAGAAAATTTTGGGAAAAAATCTGTGGTGTTTATCAGGGAAATGCATGAGCTTAAATACAAAATTATAAATTGCTTAATGCAACCTTCCAGAATATGGTGCCATCAGAAAATTTTGGGAAAAAATTCCTATCAATTCTAGCTTACATGGAACCTGAAACCTAAAACATTTGGAACATACCCAATTGAAGAAGACCAGCTGAATCTACATTGATATTTAGAGGTATCATAAGCGAGGAGGTACTACCAATATAAATGTTTTATACATTTCCACGAAAGTAGCCACATGATGCTGAAAGTTTCCATTTTATTCACATTTCATGTTTGTTTCTTTTTTTCTAACCATGACTATACAGTTTTCCTTTTCTAGCCATAGAAAACTAATATATGTTTAAGTCTTTAAAAAAAACAGAAAAATTACTATGTACATCAGTGGTTCCCAGCCTTGGGTTCCCAGATGCTCTTGGACTACAACTCCCAGAAACCCTAGTCAGCACAGCTAGTTGTGAAAGCTTCTGGGAGTTTTTGTCCAAGAACATCCGGCGACACAAGGTTGGGAACTACTGGTGCATATGATTACAATTTCACTGAACTGATACAGTGTTATGGATTCTGCATGCTTTGCAGAAGGCCATATGCAAGGCAACTGCCACCTGCTATTTAGGGATTCTTCTTGTTTATTTCCTTAGTCCAAGCCCCCTGATAGGAAGCAAGTTCAATGATCTATTAACAAAGGAGAATGTGTAATTTCAATTTATTCATTATGCAGCACATGATTACAATTTCACTGAACTGATACAGTGTTATGGATTCTGCATGCTTTGCAGAAGGCCATATGCAAGGCAACTGCCACCTGCTATTTAGGGATTCTTCTTGTTTATTTCCTTAGTCCAAGCCCCCTGATAGGAAGCAAGTTCAATGATCTATTAACAAAGGAGAATGTGTAATTTCAATTTATTCATTATGCAGTTCACTATGAAGAAAAGCTGCTGTGTTCATGATCTCAAGAGCCTTAACATTCAGGTTTATAGAAGTCAATCAGTACAAAAGTATGTACCGTATGTATTCTATGACTGAAAGCTGCGGACTCAAAAATTCAATATTTTAGTGATAATTTGTGGTTATACTTTCCTCTTTTCTAACAGGAACAGTTAGAAACATCTAGGAGAGAAATCATTGGATTGCAAGAAAGGGACAGACAGCTACAGTGCAAGAACAGGAATTTGCACCAGTTACTCAAAAATGAAAAAGATGAGGTTAGTCATTCTGTATCTCTGTAGCAAGGATACCGATAATTTTGGTAGCTTTGGGGGATTGGGTAAGTAAATATTGTTAGCAGTTTCATGTAAATTGCTCTCCATGAGGGGTTGGTGAAACCTGTGCTTGTAGCTATCCTGTAGGACATTATAGCTAGTGAATTTGTACTGCACGAGTTCATGCAGAGTTCATGATTACTATTGCTGCATTCACCTTCTTCTGCTTATAACCAGTAATTCACATATGCCACTTGTAAAAGTGAAACAAAAACTAAGTTGAACCCAATCTAGGGGTAATTATCAGGGCTCACTGTCCACATAAACTTTAATCATAAACTAAAATGCCGGTAATGCAAAGTGTTTTGTTGTGAATAGCCTTCTGCTAGTGCTAGTAACGAGATTGCTTGGTGCATAAATTGAACAGGTTTGATATAAGCAGCTCTTCATTAGCATTCCTATTTAATAAAAGTTTTGAGTGAACTATGGGTGTATTGTAGGTACAGAAACTGCAGAACATCGTTGCAAGCCGTGCAACCCAGTACAATCATGATATGAAAAGGAAAGAAAGAGAATTCAACAAACTGAAAGAGCGCTTTCATCAACTCCTTATGAATAAAAAGGATAAAAAAATAGGTAGAACTTACAAATTTGTTTTTTGGTTGTCAGTAGCAATGTGGGCATTTGCTTCTGTTTCCTGTTTTTGTTTTAATTTGTTATTTGTTTGCTCACCATTCTTATGTTATATATTTTTGTCCAAACATGTTGTATATGCAGAAAAAGAATCCTAGTGAAGGATGATAATAGGGAAGATAAGATGAATCATTTCCTTCACTTTCTTCACAAAAAAGTGGAGGGGGAAAGCAGGAATCAAAATGCTTTGATCCCTCCCCCTCCTTACTTCCGTGTATAAGTCGACCCTCAATTTTTAATCTAAATATTTTAGACAAAAGTATCATCTTATACACAGAAAAATACGGTACTTTTTTGGTTGTGGAAATGATCTTTTCCTCATGTCTCCTCCACCCAAAAAGCCCCCTCAAGAGGCCCCCTCCCTCTGAAGCCCAAAATAAACACCTCCTCCACGGGCCCTGCCATTTGCCCCACCCTCTCCCCACTTCTCCTCCCTCACTTTTTTGTCCCGCTTGCCTTTTTCCATGAGTCTGGTGGAGCTCAAAGGCATCTCCCTGCCCAGGTTCCCTCTCCCATCCCTGTGCCATCATTGCCACTCCCAGAAGAGCAGGAGACTCAGGCAGAGCAAAAGGCACCGCAGCCATGACAGCAAAAACGTTTCAATCTTGCCGACATCTTGGGCATCAGTGCTCCCGTTGTGCATTGCCTGCTTGCCTCATTCAGGCCTGTTTGAGCTGTGCTGTTGTTTTGGTCTGAAGGGCAGAAATCAATCCACCAAAGGTAGATGGAGAGAGCAGGGAGAAAGGAGCAAGAGCAGCTCTTTCTGACAGGTTAGGAGTCATGTACATGCATGAAAGGAAAATCCGCCCAAGGGGGTAGAGGTATAATTAAAACTCTAGGTTGCCTGTCGTTCTGGTTCAGATTAAATTGCTCTATCTGTGGGCCAAGAAGATTAAAAGAAAACAACATTTTGTATGGCACATATAATATAATAAATATAGAAATAATTTCCACTAAAAATAATAGCAGTGACTTCCACCCCACTCCAGAAAGCACTTTGCAACCCCAGCTGGGGAACTTGTGATGTAAAGTGATCAGTCACTTCCTTGCTGGATGGTGACTGGCTTGGAAGCTTGCAAGAGGTAGTTCAGTCAAATTAACTGTTAACTTGTTTTCAAGAAATTATGCCAAAAAATGTACTTGCAGGTGAAGCCAGATAGGATCCTGCATTATACACTAAGAAGGCCACTTTCATTTGGGGCTCCAATAGGAGCCCTGTAATATTGTTCAGTGCTTTCTGGGTTCCAGAGGGGAGAAAATGGAGTCCCTCCCCAATTTCCTCTTTCTGAAATCTTCTCCTGCTATGTTTTTTGGTGCTAAAAAGGTTGAGCTTTGGGATTGGCTGCCAGACATGAACCCAAATGCTTTAGTACTACGTAGCACAGGCGGGTAGAAAAGCAGAAGTGGGGTTCCTTTGTTTATTCTTTATATGATATGGAGATGAAATATTTCTGTATGTGTGACTGTATGGTATTTCCCTTTCCAGGATACCATTTGTTGTTAGGAACTCAAACAGGCCAATTCCTCCTCCTCCTTTCCATATTCATGGAAAGTTTCCATATTCATGAAAAATTCAGTGGTGTGGATACAAGGCCATAACTGAAGGAAAGCAAGCTAATGCAGGCATACAGTGTGTGCCTGCCCAAATCTAAAAGTTGACTTATCCTATTCTTCAATGTTCTGGCCCCTTTTTTGAGAAACATCTATGCCTCCCGACTTGTTTTCCACAACCGCCGAACTCTGTTTTAACAAGAACAACAAAATGAATTACAGAAAGCATGAATTGTTTTTCTTGAGAAATCCTGAATTCTAACAGTGATACATACTACAGAAATGTGTTTTTAAGCTGATAAATAGGGATTTTTTTTCTTTATAAAAAACGTGGCCTTCCCCTTAGAAATTTTTCAGTCCACCTAGAAGCATATGCCTCAGTTTGAGAACCATTATACTAAAAGATGCTGTACATAAACTTTTCTTTTTAGTTATGTATGATTTCTTAAATTGTAATGTTTCTCTTTTGTTATAGCCATGGATGTTCTAAACTATGTAGGTAGAGTTGATGGCAAAAGAGGTGCGTGGAGGACCGGGAAAACAGAAGCTAAGTAAGTTGGTCATTTAATACCACTTTTAATTGCTCATCATATCATATTTCATGTTTACCTATTTTGTTGTCTTCCTTCAGGAATGAAGAAGAAATGTACAAAGCTCTTTTAAATGATTATGAACAGCGTCAGAAACAGCTTCTGGTAGAAAATGCTGAGCTCAAAAAGCTACTTCAGCAAATGAAGAAGGAAATAATTTCTCTCCTGCCACCACAGAAGCAGAAACCTAAAGAGAAGACTGAAGATAGCAATGGCACCGTAAGTGTGCACATGTATAGTATATGCTGCAAAAAGCTTAAAAAACAAGATTATCTTGTAATATATCCTGTTACTACTGCTTGTGAAACATCACTTGTATTAGGTTTTTCACCTCCAATGTATCTTGAGTTTGGTTTGAAAGAAATGAGATTGCATCTTCTCTAGGTGACTTTGACTAGCTCTGTTTTAGATCCTGACAAGAAGCAGATCCTTGCATTTTTTGAAAAATAAAATAGGAAATGCCTGACAGGGATTTGTACTTTCAATTTTTGTTTCTCTGTATAGTATGCTGGAGCATTTCCTGATTCCTTCCATAGTTATTAAGGCATTGCTTGGCAGTCTACAGCTTTATTTCCTTTTTCTTAGATTTAATCACACAGTATTGGAGCGGAACAGGGTGTTACTTTTTGAGTAGATTGAGTTACAGCTTTACTTTGCCATGCAATGTTACCTGCTCTATATGGAGTCTTCAACTAAATGGGAGTAGCAGGTTAAAATACAATAGAAATTAAGAAACTGGGCTGTGGAAGGGATGAATTCACAGATATTTCAATGGTTAATTCTTCCTTGGCAGATTTATATTAAACAAGTATGATGTTTCTGCACACTTAAATTTCCTAAGCTGCCCTTTTCACCTGCATTTGAAATATTCAGTAAATTTTATATCAAATTAGGAATCTTTTTTTAAAAAAGTTCTGTAGACATCAATGTACCATGTTGAAGTGGACTTTAAAGTGTAGAACTGCTTAAACTGAAAGAAAATGTTCTCCAAAACCTAAGATTAAAAAAATGTTCTAGAAAGAGTATGCACATTGCCCATATAGATGTAAATGGAAGGGTAGATGAACAGGTAGATGTTTATGGCACTTGTGGTCTTCTTGAACCCACATAGCACATTATGGGAGGTGTGGGTTTTTTCTGCAAGTATTAAATCTATGTCCATTTTATTTAAAAACTCATATTTTTTGAATTCAAGTAAATTCTTGAAACAGGGAACATAATTAAATACTCATGCTGGTAAAATTAAGCACACATATTGGTTCAAATGCAAATGTAAGGCTGAATCCAAATGGGAGTTGAAAGAAAAATAGGTCTGTTGAATCAATGGGACTCATATACGCTTTGGCTTATTAAAACTTCATTGACTCAAATTCTATAAGTTTCTCTAGTTGGGACTAACAGATTTATTTCTAAATCAGCAGCCTTCTTTTAACACCGTGCAGGATAATATAAAACCATACTAAACAATGTTTAGCCTTAACCATTTTGAAGCTTACCATGTTATTTTACAACTACTTCAGTTGGTCAGGTTTTCGTCCTGCAGGTCCTGTCGGATGTGGAAGAGGATGCTGGAGAAGCGAATAAAGAGAATGTTTGGGAACTTTCTTGTGAAACAGTGCGCGAACAGCTTGCTAACAGCATTCGGAAACAGTGGAGGATGCTGAAAAATCATGTTGAAAACCTAGATAACCAAGGTATAGCTGAGTGCTGAATTATGTTACTGATATGTGCTTCCTTAATATAATCTAGGCTCTGTTGATGGCGAGGGATAACACAGTTTTGTGATGTTGCTGTGGTCACTGCAAATATTTGGGCAGTGACTTGGAACCATAATTAGTCATGCTTTGATGAGACCCTTTGGAAACCAGCAGGTTTTAATCAGTCAAAGCTAACTTGCCTCTCACTGATTCTGTGGGTCTAATCCTAGTATGAATACGTCTGACTCTTAACTTATTAGATTTTTTTTAAAAAAACAACAACACCTCACTACACTGGAACAAGTAGACATAAGTTGCATTCCATATATTAATTATCTGTAAGACAGTAAAGTATAACAATCATACTAAACCTCCAGGTGCTTAGCTATGCCTGGGCTGGAAGGATGATAGGAAGGGGCAGAGAAGAAAGCGATATTCATGACAGAAGAGGGTGGGAGGCTGTGATCTGAGTGAGAATTTTAGCAAGTTGGAAGGTGCAGGGTGAACTCTTGAACTTCCAGAATAATTAAATGTTTCTTTGTGAATGGCAATGACAGTTTCAGTAGTGGAAACTGCCAATAGTATAGTATCCCCAACTTTTAATGAACCCAGGACAGCCTGCCTGACTAGTCATGCCCTTAGCTGATATTTTGCTTCACAAAGTCCTCAGAAATTGTCTTTGTATGTGACACTGTCTTGCACGCCCAGTGTACAATTTGTTTTTAAGTCCTTCATACTTTAAATAGACCACCACATTCTTTTGGAAACTTGACAGTGACTTCGTTGGATTATAGATACAGCTGTTTTCACAAGACTTTGGTTGTTTGTCTGATAGGGAGTAAGCGAGCCTGTGTAGCTCTAGGGCAGCCATTTTCAAGAGGGGCCATATGAGCCCTTGGGGAGCCCTGGCACATTTGAAGGGAGACACTGACTGGAAACAGTTCTTCACATACCACCTTATGAGGTTTGTTATGTGACTTATACAATCCTGATTCAGCCTGTATTTCTTTCATATTGTGCTTATGGCTGTGGCCAAAAGAAAAAAAAAGATTGAGAATGGCTGGTCTATGGAATGTAAGCAATTAAATGTGGTTTTATTGTCCGTTTATAATAATTATGCCACAAGTATTGTACCTTGTACATAAAGTTTGGTAGCCACAGTATATTCTATACAAATCGATCCCCCCATGTAATATAAATAAATCTTACAGAAGGCTCTCCTTAATAGTGTTTTATTTTTTAAAAAAATATTACTTGATAACAAATAATTAGTCAGCCGACTGTAATTCATATCAGACAGTGGATAACTGAAAGGAAAAGAGATTGTATATAGTATTAAGAATAAGTATTTCACAAAAAAGTAGTAGTAAATAAGTCATTTTTGAAATTTCTAGTATCACATGTACATTGTGGGTCACTCCATGAGAAAGATACAATCTCAAGAGAAGACCATGAACTGGAAGTTGAAAGACTGCAGTTGGAAATTCAGCAGTGCAAAGAAATGATAAAAACTCAGCAGCAGCTCTTACAGGTAAGTCATGTAATATAAATAAATATTACAGAAAGCTCTCCTTAATAGTGTTTTATTTAAAAAAAAATATTACTTGATAACAAATAGTCAGCCGACTGTAATTCATATCAGACAGTGGATAACTGAAAGGAAAAGAGATTGTATATAGTATTAAGAATAAGTATTTCACAAAAAAGTAGTAGTAAATAAGTCATTTTTGAAATTTCTAGTATCACATGTACATTGTGGGTCACTCCATGAGAAAGATACAATCTCAAGAGAAGACCATGAACTGGAAGTTGAAAGACTGCAGTTGGAAATTCAGCAGTGCAAAGAAATGATAAAAACTCAGCAGCAGCTCTTACAGGTAAGCATTATTTAAACAGGTATCCTTGCGGTCTCTTCAGCACAAAGATAACAGTATGGGATAGGTATCTAAGAACTGACTACTGTATATGCATTGGACTTTGGTTTCCTACTCACAGATCCTTGTGCTTTAAACATCTACCTACATATGGCTTGCACTTGGCACAAATGAAAGAGAATGCTGCTTCCTGCTTATATATCGCCCCATAGCGCTTCAAGCACTCTCTGGGTGGTTTACAAGTTAATTATGCAGGCTGCAGGCTACACATTCCCCCCCACCCCAAGCAAGCTGGGTACTCATTTTACCAACCTCAGAAATATAGAAGGCTGAGTCAACCTTGAGCCGCTACCTGGGATTGAACCCCAGGTTGTGAGCACAGTTTTGGCTGCAGTACAGCGGTTTATCCACTGCGCCATGAGGCTCTTGTCTCAGGAATCATGTCTCAGGAACTTGCAAAGAGTTGGGCATGGTTATTAGTCCCCTGGTCTGCTTTTGAATGTCTTTTAGAGCAGGGGTGAGTGAAGTGCAGCCCTCCAGATATTTTTTGGACCACACTTCCCAGCAGTCCTCACCCTTGGCCAGGATGGCTAGGGCTGCCAGAAGTTGTAGTCCAGCCACATTTGAAGTGTGGCCGTTCACACACCCTTGCTTTAGAACCATGGTTCCCAACCTTGGGTCCCCAAATGTTCTTGGACTGCAACTCCTGGGAATGCTGGCCAGTGATCTAGTTTTGAGAGTTTTAATCCAAGAACATCTGGAGAGCTAAGGTTTGAGAAACACTGCTTTAGAGTGTAGTTTTGGATTGGTTAAATCACAGTGTGAGGAAATCATAAGGTACGAACTCTGGCTGCTGTGCCTCTCTGGGAACTGACTAATTTAGCTTTCTCCGTCTTACTGTTGTACAGATGATTTGGACTTCACCTTGCATCATCCCCACTCAGTATGGCCATTGCCCAAAATGCTGGGAGTTGCAGACCATTCCACTTGAAAGGCAACAGCTTAGGGGAGGTTGGACTGATAACTTTTTCATGCATGCTGCAGGTAGCATAGTGCTCCCAAGTACAGATGTGCTGAATTAAAACGGGATTATTTCCCATATTTGGTTGTTCAATTTTCACCTTCTTCTCTCCCAACAACACATGTTATTTTGATTTCTGGCCTGTTTTGTGCCTAGCTCCAGTTACATGTTTTTTGGGGGGTAGCTTCCAAATAATCATTTCTGATTTTTCTGTACTTCACGTCTTACCTGCAGCAGCAGCTAACTTCTCCATGTGATGATGATACCAATATGTTACTACAGGACTGTTACTTGCTGGAAGAAAAAGAAAGACTGAAAGAGGAGTGGAAATTGTTCAAAGAACAGAAGAAAAACTTTGAGAGAGAGCGTAAAAGTTTCACAGAAGCTGCTATTAGACTAGGACTTGAGGTACTCTTAATAATGCTGTGCAATAGTTTTTATATCTTTGGGGCTGTTACACCACCAGAAACTAGGAGTGTTTACAAAGAACACTTTATTTTTACTGTTGGATTGGAAAGAAGGCATATAAGCACACACTGGGTGCGTGCCAGGGATCTGTAGCTGATTGCAGGTTCCTCTGCATGTGTCCATTTTATGTTTACACATGTGCATCCTCCGTTAATTTGAGGTATGCCTCTGCTGTGCAAGGTGTGAAATATCTTTTCTGTTTCAACATGATGATCCAGGTACAGTTTTTGACTAACCTCACTACTAACTCATGCAAAGCTATATACGCAGCTGCCTTTGTATACCTAGGTCTTTATACTCCAGACAGTTTACTCTATGGATTCATTTTGGTACTCTTGCTTTTTCTGTTTCTATGTAGAGGAAGGCATTTGAGGAAGACCGTGGAGCTTGGCTGAAGCAGCAGTTCTTAAGTATGACTTCTGATCATATGAAACCTCAGTGTGCCTTCTTGGGAAGTAAGACTTTGATATTAGTGTTTCCCACTAGTTCTTCTTTAATGACATAAATACATTTAAATTTATACGTATTTCTAAGTAGAGAGTGATGCCCAGACACAGAGAGAATCCACCACAATTGGTTTTATTTATTTTATTTATTTATTTATTGGACTTATATACCGCCCCATAGCGCTACAAGCACTCTCCAGGCGGTTTACAATTTTTTAATTATACAGGCTACACATTGCCCCCCCAGCAAGCTGGGTACTCATTTTACCGACCTCGGAAGGATGGAAGGCTGAGTCAACCTTGAGCCGGCTACCTGGGATTTGAACCCCAGGTCGTGAGCACAGTTTTAGCTGCAGTACAGCGTTTTAACCACTGCGCCACAAGGCTCAGTTTCCAAATGAACAGTTTGGTGTCACAGTAGCACATGTGGAGCTGCTCTGTAATTCAAGGAGGGGAGCATTTGGCCCTCCAGGTTTTGGACTTCAACTGTGAAAAGCTCCATCTAGTGCAGTCATTGGAAATGGATAATGGGATTTGTGGTCCAAAGCATCAGAACATCCAGAAATGTCCATATCTATTTTAAACTCAAACACAGAACCATTATACTGATCATATTTATTTCATTCCCATCCTCTCTCCTGCATATGCTGGCATTTAAGCCTGGTTGGTTGTTGGGGATGTGTATACCTGTGAGCACAGGGATGAAAGGCAGCACCTTCTGTCAGAGTGCCATTCTCCCTCCCTTGGAAAAGAAAAGAAGCCCAAATCATAAAGCCCACAGCAAAGGATGGGGAAGGTAAAGAGAGACCCCTAGAGGAAACAGACAGAAAAAGAAAGTCAGGAAAAATAGGGCAGAAGGGGGAAAGAAGGAGTGAGGGTATTAACAAGGGAGAAAGTGGAGACGGGGAGAGACTCATAGGCATCCTTCAGTCTCGAGAGACTATGGTAACATGCTCTGAATCGAGGAGTGTCCTCTCCAGAGCATGAAGCCTGGGTAAAGTAATATGGAGGATAGGCTGTTACCCAAGCACCAGATTCCCCCTCTCCACATTGCTGAAATGGTCCAATGGAAAGGCAAGAGCCAATACAGCTGGTTCCAGCAACGTCGCAGGAGTTGGCAGAACGACACGAACTAGAAGTGGAAACCACTGAGACGAGGGGAAAAAATGGTTTGCTTGCTGAAGGATGGGAATTGGTGCGGAAGCAGAACCCATGGACTCACAAGTAGGAGAAATGTATGTTCACTGAGGGAGAAGCCAAACTCCAGAGAAGCCATCAACCACCCCACAAGCCCTCTTATTAGGGGGAGTGAGAAAGAAGGGAAAGAAGGAGGTGAGAGTAAGAGGTTGGCATAAGAGAAAAGGGCCTTGAGGAAAGGGGGTTCCACATGAAGCAAACCTCCTCTGAGTAGGCATTCCCTCTTTCAAAGGGGTTGGGAAGATTGGCACCCTGAAGGAACGGGAATGCTGCAGGAGTGGAGGAAAGCTAGCCTCCTGACCATATTGTGGAGGCAGTAGGGACTCCATGCCAGAGAAATCAACCATAAAGGAGGAGGAGGAGGAGAGGGAAACCAGGCGCGGAAGGGACTGAAACTGTTAAATTAGAAGGACTTCATTCAAGCTGGTTTAACTCCTTTCTCTCTCCCTTGGAGGGAAGGGAGACAGTGAAAAAGAGCAATCTTAGTGACTTTTTGTTAGGTAAGCCAACAGTAAAGGTTGATTTGTTTAAACAAGAAGAGGAATCTTGTGCCTTTGTCAAAGAAGTTCTTGGAGGGGGGGGGCAGCGAGTGTAGAACCCTCACAATACCTTACTGAAGATTTGCAGAAAGTTTGGATGCTTGGTTGCCTATGTCAAGTTAAATTAACTCCAAGCAGTTCTTGCTTGTGGTTTCTCTTCCCATCAGTTGAAAGAGCTGAGGATAGGAGAGTCAGACATGGTGTAGCATTTACTGGATCTAGTTCTAGCTCTCCAATTTCTCTGTTTCTCTCATTACAATTAGCTCAATGCTGTGGAAATTTAACACAGTGCTAAGTTGCAAGTACTTTTCCTAACTTTCTTTCTGCTTTTTTTTTGATAAAATTATATCCTAAGAAGAGGTGTGTTTTTTCCTTACAGGCTCAGATTTGGATAATCCATTAGCAAATTTCAGGTCTCGCCAAAAGAAACCAGACCCCTCGCCCAGCATCGCTACATTCTCAGATGTTTGCGAAGCAACTCAGCAAATTCTTGAAAACAGGTGTCTATGTTTTCCCTTCATTTCTTTGCTCCAATTCTGAACCAGAAATATATATAGATCTAGAAAACCTTACATCAGATAATCTCCGCAGGTCCAGGGGCCAAACTTTTGCCCCAGTAACCAGGGCGTATTCTATTGATGTGACTGCATTAATTGTCCTGCTAAATTTAGGCAGTACAGTAACAGCAGAAACTCTTGTATAACCCTTTAAGAACCAGCTGCATCTGGAATGCATAACTTGGTGTTAAGTACAGTTGTGCTTTCTGGGCATTTCCAGAACTACAGTTCTATTTGCAAACGAGCATGCTGGCTGTGCACCTTATTCTTAAAGAGAAGTGTGATTCTCCTTCACATTTGCCTCCCCATCAAATTTTGATGGCATGACTGTGATTTCTTCGACTACGGAGCTAAATGTGAGGTTAAATGTGGCCTGTGGACGCTTTTTCCTGAACTAAATACTTGCTTCAAGAGATGGCTAAATATATTAACTAATCAAATTGTTCTCTTACATAAGGAGGTGTCCCCTATTCCAGTCCACAGGCCACCCACAGTTGAGCAGTTTGTGTTTCCAGGGCTACACGGGACTCCCATCTGACTGAGGCCAGGTGTATGGGGATATGTATACACCTGCCTTTCCCCAGAATCTTGAGCAAACTCTTCTTGTAGAGTGGCCATTGTCATAATTTGAGACTGGGCAGACCTGCCCCAGGGAAGATGGAGCTTTCAAATGGAGTCCATTGATAGCCCCTTGTTTCTTAAGCACCAAGGAAAAAAACTGTAACCCATAGAGCACAACCACATGTGGTTGGTGGGATGTTAGCACCTGTGCAGAGCTCTTTTTCTCTGTAATAGGCATGTTCATTCTCACTCCTGTTGTTCTCTCCCTTCCAGTTCAAGTGCTCTTCTGAATAAAACAGCTGAAGATCGAAGGCCAAGCCAAATTAAGAAGGAGCCACTAAGAAAGATGCAGACTAATGACAGCAGCCCTGTTGCACAGAGTGATGCAGAGAGTTTACATTGGCTGCCACCGGCACACTTGCACACAGGCAGTGTAGATAATTTGCATTAGAGTCTTAACTTCTCTTACCCTCTTTCTGTTTAGCAGATTTATCCATAAACTTTCTGAATTCATTTGGCAAAACAGGGTGTCTCGAGTGTAATTGGATTGATGCTGATGATAGCAGTTGTACTGTACGCGTGGCTTTTTTAGAATCTCCCTCTCCAAGAAGAAACTTTCCTTTCTGCCCCTGTATAGTTAAAGCTATATTTAAAATATATATATATATGTCAGTTCTTACAATGAATGACCTAGTTCTTTAGCTGAAGGATGGTGTGAATCTTCTGACAAAATGCTTCAGCATTTGAATTTTATATTTCAAGCAAAAGCAGCACTTTTAGCACTAGTTTAAAATGAAATGTTCATTTGGGTCTCAAGTGCAACTGACACTGGGAATTTTTTTTTCCTTAACTTGAATGTACAGTACATTGTAGATGATTGACATGGCAGGTTCTATATTTATTGTGTGATTTCTGATTACCTCTTTTCGTATCTCTTCAATAAAAAAAAAGCAAGGCCTTTGCTTTGAAATAGATGAGATGCAAAGGATTATGTGACAATGCTATGAAACAAGATTTATGGATCCAAAAAAATAATAATAATAGTATTTTACATGCCAATTGTAGCTGAGTTTTTTAATTGTAATACTGTGTTTACAGACGGGTTGATTTTTCTCAAAAACCCTATGATTTCAATAAAATAAATAAAAATTATATTAAAGTCTGTGAGTAAAATAAAAGTGATCAATATATTTACAAAATATGAATGAATGTGTCTGGGGTTTTCTTCATCAACTAGAAATGCTTTCTATTTGGTTAGAGGTAAATAATAGCGGTAATCCTGTAGTTTACTATAAGCCAAATTGTAAATCTTTGGTCCTTTCTTGCCTTGTAAAAGTGCCCCCGCTGTGATTCTTGGGGCGTATGTCTACACATACCAAGTCAGCCAAACATCACAGCAGAAAGATGGTTTGTTTACTGGAGAGGAATAGACCAAAAGTCATGTATTGGCTTATGCTAAGCAAAAGGATTTTGCCCAGTGTCTTTCTAACGGGAGAGACCTTGGCTTCCTAAGATACTCCATTTGGTCTTTGAAACTGTAAATCCAAACAATGTTTTCTTGCTCCTGATGAAAGGTTAGTTAATGTATTCTTTTTAAAATTCCAAGCTGTGCTTATTAGAATGAGGGTTATTTTTAGAGGCGCAATTCTTCACTATATGGGCTACATTGTATGATGCATGCTAATACCCTTAGCCCAAGAATTAAATATTTCTCTGACTTAAAAAATAAATGTTATATTCTGTATTTCAAATTTAATAACTTGCTCTGGGACAAGTCAATCGATACAATTTCTTCTACAAGAGAAGAAGCATGCCGTTGTTGTTACATGTCTTATGATGAAGCAAAAGAAAGATTAATGAGTGCAGGCTTTAGTAAGTATTGCAGATTACATCTAAGTTCAGGCAAAGTAATCATGCATTGGCTTACTTGGGTACTATCACAAGGTGAGCTTCAAGAAATGTGTGATACGAAGGTCTGCCATTCAAAGGGGAAACCTCCTGGAAAAGCGCATGTGGGCAACTTTAGTGGGCTGAAGGGCCAACATCACCCCTAAGGGGATGATCATAGGCAGGATCCCCTCCAAACAAAGCAAAAAAAAAAAAATACAAACCAGATATAGCTGGATGTTTACTTCTGCTTGGGGGAAGAAGATGACAAATGGCACCATCATAAACGCTAAAACAACACCTGTACTTCATTCTAGAGGAGTAGCAAGGTCATCTGGAAGCTTCCAGGAGTGTCAGTACCCACTCTTTGCTCCCTACCCCCAGAAGTGGGGGGTTAAGAAAGCCATCCCTCCACTTTCCTCTGCCATGGGATAAAGAAGAGGTATAGAGAATGGTGGCTCTATCAGCACTCTCACATTGATTGAAGATGGCGATTGTGGAAGGCCATTTTACCTTGAGCTGAGATTTCTTGAACAGAGTGGGAAGCCTGACACAGGAAGTCCCCCCCCCATGGCTTCGGAGCCAGTCATTGTAGAAATGGGTGGCTTCCAAAAGCTGCATGGGTCCCCCTGAGGCATTGGAGGTCATGGTGGTGGTGGGGTTGGTTTGCATTTGCTGTTGCTTGAGGCAAAAGTGAATGCCTATGCCTCTTGAGAAATGAAACATTTTTGCAATTACCAATGGTTATGGACGCCTTTTAAAGATTAAAGTGTCGTGTATATTGCCACACATTGGGATCCCGATGGAGGGTTAGAGGACATTCCACCCTGATCCTGATCCAGACCAGCCTCCCATCTATCTATGTACCTAATTATTTGTATTTGTGCTAGTGGTGGAGAGATCTCATTAAGGACAATGAGATTCCCATTAAGAGAGGCACGTAGAGCCTAATGTTGGCCCCAGTGTGAAGCACCATGTTAAAATCTCCCTATCCTGAATCAGGATCCAGATCAGAAGCCCTGTGCCAGGTGTTTATCGCAGATGACATTTCTGCAGTTGCGGAATAAATTGTATTTCATCTGGTGTGCCTCTCACTGGGCTGGATTACAGAAGGTGTAAATGTTTCATAATATGAAAGTGTTTTTTCTATCCACTATTAGATCTGCTGTAGTTAACCCAATAGTCTGATTATTTTAAAAATATAACTCAGGTCTTACCCTGAGTTGAATCATGGCTGGTAGATACCTTTTCAATTACAGGCATTCAACAGCAGTGTTGAAAGATCTCAGAGAACACTTATCAGTTTCGTCGAGGTCACTTTAACTAGGAGGGGGACGAGATAACCTTAGCTGGAAGAACTGCAATTACCTGTTGGAAACTCCTAATTTCATGTAATGGCCTAACTTTGTTGCACCATCATACCTCCCACTGTCCCTTACAAGATGGAAGCCTTTTTGTGCTATCAGCGCCTCACTCTGGTTATATGTCCAAAGCCTTTCTCCACAGGCCCAGTAACCTAAAACACTGTTGACAGTACTGTAGTATTCACTATTCTATCCCCAAAACACAAAGAGAGAAAGGGAAACAGAAGAAATATTAAAGCCAGGCAAGAAAATTAATCCATCCATGTCTGAGTGTATTTGGCTTTAAAAATCATGAAATGATTAGCATCTGTTTGGCACCTTTTCAGTTTATTCTTACTGGTCATTATAGCTCAGTGGTTTAGGTATCTGGTTGCAGAGCCAGAGAGAGGTTGGGATTTCGATTCCCCACTGTGCCTCCTATAAGTAGAGCCAGGCTGTGTAGCCTTGGGCAAACTGGTGCCCCCAGAAGAAGGGAATGGTAAACCATTTCTGAGCCTTCTCTACCTGGAAAACCTTGAAAAGGCTAATAAATCAGAACTGACTTGATGGCACATTATATTACTATCATTCAAAAAAACCAGACACAGTCAATCAAAATTATAAAAACATTGACTGGTATTATATAACAGATACAAGTTTTAACTAAAACCCTAAATATCTGTTAAATATCAGCACAGTATGTATGCTCTTCTTAATACTGCTGGATTTTGTAGCTCTCATGGTGTTATCTGCAACTGCTTATAATACTGCGTGAAATTTCTTGATATTGTTCCCAAAGCCCCAATGTTTATGGAAACCACTGAAGTGTATTCCATCCACAAGCAAAATATTTTGATTGCCAGATCTCTGCATTTTGTTAGTTTTTCCAGTTCTTTATTTTCAACTCTGGCATCCACTGGAATTGCAATGTCAGTTATCCAGACATTTCTTCATTCTTTTACTACTATGTCTGGTGTGTTAAGTTCAAGATGTCTATCAGTTTGGATCCAGAAATCCCACAAGATCTTGATGTCATTTTCTGACACGTTCTCTGCCTGATGTTCCCATCTGTTTTTGAAGACTGGCAAGTTATATATATAAATAGTGCCTAATGGCCAGTGCACTAATTTTGCTACTTATGTCTAATTTTGTAATGTGTGCAGTCTTTGGACATTCGCAGATGAGTTGTGACACAGTTCATCTTTTTCTTGGCACA